CATTAAAGAAGAACCCGTCCAGAGGACCTATACAATTTTTTTTCCTTTTGATTTTTTACCTGGATTACTGAGATGCAAACAGAGCTGCTTGAGGTTTGCTAAAGCACATTTGGACAAGCCAGCTTCATTTTCGAATAAGGTGACTGATGAAACTAAAATAGAGTTATTTGGGAAGAACAAGGGCCGTTATGCATGGAGAAAAAAGAACACAGAACTCCAAGAAAAACACCTGCTACCTACAGTAAAATGTGGGGGCGGTTCCATCATGCTGTGGGGCTGTGGGGCCAGTACAGGGACTGGGAATCTTATTAAAGTTGAGGGACGCATGGATTCCAATCAATATCAGCAGATTCTGGAGACCAATGTCCAGGAATCATTGACAAAGCTAAAGCTGCTGAAGCCGGGGCTGCATCTTCCAACAAGACAACCACCCTAAACACTGCTCAGAATCTACTAAGGCCTTCATGCAGAGGAACAAGTAGGACGTTCTGGAATGGTCATCTCAGTCCCCAGACCTGAATATTATTGAAAATCTGTGGTGTCACTTAAAGAGAGCTGTCCATGCTCAGAAACCATCAAACCTGAATGAACTAGAGATGTTTTGTAAAGAAGAACGGTCTAAAATACCTTCAGCCACAATCCAGACTCTCATTAGAAGCTGTAGGAAGAGTTTAGAGGCTGTTATTTCTGCGAATGGAGGAGCTACTAAATACTGAGTTAAGGTTTTTTTTTTGTGCCCAAATTTATGCACCTGCCTAATTTAGTTTAACCAATTATTGCACACTTTCTGTAAATCATATAAACTTCATTTCACTTCTCAAATATCACTGTGTTTGTCCCCTATATGATATATTTAACTGATGTTTTTAATACAAACAATCAATAGTTTATAAAGGTAAATCAGGAAAATTAACAAGGGTGCCGAAACTTTCACACCCCACTGTATTTGAAGCTAAGTTTTTGAAAATATATGCAAGATGTCTCTATATGTCCTTATACCTACAGAATGGGGGGAAATCTGCAAAATTTATGGACAATCTGTACAAAGTGACATGTATCTATCTGGGAACTGGAGAAGATGTTTGCAAAATCTTCAGTAATACATTTCTGCTGCATAAATCAAAAAAATATTTGGAAAACAACATCCAGGAGAAAGCATGCAGTGACTTATAAATTCTGTAGTGCTTCACTTTCAGACAGTGGGGTTAGATACTTGTGAACAGCATGTTTTAGGACACTAGTTGGTCTTGGTCTTGACTTGGTCTTGGGTTAGGTGGTCTTGATGACAAAACTAAGTCAGAAAGTGACAGACAATGGTGCATTGTTATCATGGTGACCATAAAAAGCCACTGGCAGCAACGTTAACATTTCTTTTGAGCTCATTTCTCTTTACACTTAATTAGTTCAAATGTATTGGACTCGTGGTCAACAATTAGTTTATTCCTCTGATAGCTACTTTGGACATGAGTCAAGCTTTACATCTTGAATATAGTTTGATGTCTGTCTCATCTTTCTGAAGCAGAGAAAAAGCCAACCAACGAGGCTGTTGCTGAGTACCTAGAAGGAAGAAAGAAGTATGAAGAGCTCAGGAAAACAAAGCTGAAAAAAGGCTCCAACAGAGAAGAACAGGTTAAAAAGCTATTTACTCAAATGCATTACTTTTAACAGCGTAATTGTGATTGTGTAAAAGCTAATGCAACTGTTTTGTTGTTGTCTGACATGGCAGACGATGGCCCTGCTCAATAACTTTAAGTCCAAGCTGTCATCAGCCATTACTGAGAATCCAGAGGGGGATGTGGAGGAGCTGGCAGAGGATGAAGACACAGGATGGTCAGTAAGGCCCTGTTTACACTTAAATTCTCTCTGAAAACGTTTTTTTTTTCCATGTTGACAGTGGCAGATCAGCATTGGGGAAAAAACATGCTGAAATGGATAATGCTGTGCTCGTCAAACCCAGGTCTAGTTTCCATGCCAGGAAGAGTTGCTGAATAGGAATTAACAAAATATCATACTGTCTCTTTAAAATGATTGTAGTTTGACCCAAACTGTTGTATGTGTGATTGGTAAGCATATACACAGAAAGGGGGNTGATCAGTTCTTTAAGATAGAGCCTGTGAACTTCCAGCTTGGTTCTTTTCCACTGACACTCAGTCTWACGGCAAACTCTCCTCAAGCTAAGGATTTCCTTATTAATCCAAGGACAGTTTGTGCGCTGCACAGTGCTCTGTTTTACAGGTGCTATAGTGTTTAAAATATTTATAAAATGAGCATTAAAACGTGAAACATATGAGTCCACATTAATGATGTTATAACCTAAAGAGGCAGAATCAAAAAGGGAAGTAAAGACTTCAGGAGTGTGCTCATTTATGATCCGTCTTTGGATCATAAGTCTAGGTGGAGCTGGATCAGGACTAAAAGACACATTAAAATATATACAATTATGATCACTTAAAAATATATCCTCCACACAAACATCCTCTATATTAAGGCCTAAGGAGAAAACAAGGTCCAATGTATGGCCTTTTGATGAGTAGGCACACACACATGCTGAGTAAAATGAAATGAGTCCATGATGGAGATCAAGTCAGCAGCTGCCTTACAGGAAACATCATCAATATGTAGATTAAAATCACCCAATATTAAAACATTCTCCAGCTTAATAATGGAGAAAGAAGCTCAGTAAATTCAGATAAAAACACACTGGCTGCACCTGGAGGACGGTAAATTAAAATACAGTAAAAAGTTTTCAAAGAGCCTACTTTGATTATTTGAAGCTCAAATGCAGAGAATGAGACTGAATTAACAAGTCTGCAGGAGTAACCATCTTTAAACACGGCTGCTAATCCACCGCCTCTGCGCGCTTCCCGAGGTGTTGCGAGGACAGAAAAGTTACCYGGACAGAGTTCCCGCAGATGAATATACTCCAGTCTTTGCTGCCATGTTTCAGTTAAAAACAAAAAGTCCAGGGACTCCTTCATAACAAGTTCATTCAAGGCAAAAGACTTGTTGATGGAGTGCGCGTTGAGGAGGCCCATGCGCAGCGATGACAGTTCCGCAGATCTCACATCAGCTGATAGCGGCACGTAGGTTAAACAGCGCACATCAGATGGATATTTTGACGAGTAGATCTCTGGTGAATAATATGACGACATCCATCGTTGAAAGTTAGCCAATTTGTGGTGGTTAACGGGCAGGCGGTGGTCTGCGCTGGCCAGGCTTCAGGTGACGTGTCAGACTCCCAGTTGGATGACGCAGGTAGACGCCGAAGACAGCGAGAAACTCCCCACTTCCCAGCGAGTCTACGGTACAGTCTTAAACGCACCTGGACGCCAGCTCTGGATCCCCTTTTTCGCTTTTTGCGTCTGGAACTTTGCAGGAGACACTCAGGTGAGCAGCAAACAAACGGAGGTGGAAAACTCCCTCTGAAGCTGCTCCAGCTGTCAAAACACTTCACAAACGACTCTTTGGTTGAAAATTAGTGAATACTATACCACAAATTCTCCTAAATCACTCACACGTACAACTTAAGAACAAATCTGTTGGTACAAACGGTTCTTGCATGAGGCCCAATGTGAGAAAATGGAGAACCACAGGCACAGTTCAAGTGTAGGCTCCAAGTGGCAGACCAAGACAAATCTCTAATAAACAGAAGTGAAGGATGTTGAGAACAGTCAGAGTCAACCCACAGACCATCACCAAAGACCTACACCATCTTGCTGCTGATGGAGTCACTGTGCATCGTTCAACTATTCAGCACAGTTTACACAAGGAGATGCTGTATGGGAGAGTGATGCAGAGGAAGCCTTTTCTCCACCCACATCACAAACAGAAGGAAAAAAAATTGCATAGGTCCTCTGGATGGGTTCTTCTTTAATGAAACGTTTCGTCTCTCTTCTAAGAGACTTCTTCAGTCTGAGAGTTTCAGGCAAAATTCAGGCTTTTGAGTCCTGCCTCCAGGTGACTGATACTCACATCACATGGCTATCGTTCACAGGTGACTTAGCAACCACTGTTCAAAAGAATGTCCCAACACAGACGAGCTAATTCTAATGGCCAGAACTCTGCAG